CAATTAATTCTGTAAACATTCAGGCTCACCAACGCGTGCAAACTATGGTAAACCTGGAGGCCGGCAAACCGTGGTAGAATCCAGTCTCGTTGCTATTTTAATTAACGCTCTCATGAACCGACAACGAATAAATGCAATATCGGCAGGGAAAAACAAAGAGGAGAAACTTACCGAATTACCTCTGCTTTAGGGCTAGACGAAGTGAAGACTTAAATATAGCGACCACACCGATGTCATGCTTTCGCGCCAGTCTTCACATTCGATGACGTCATGCCCCCCAGGAGATCGTTGTTCCATTTGCGGTTTGTATTTTTGGTGGTTTCCGCGAGATAGCCTTCACGTCACGCCACAAGCAAGCTCGACGATTGGCCACAACATCGGAATATTTCATGTATTGCTAAGCAATTTAATGTTCAGCTAGAGTGTCTGATGTTCTGCAAAGCTATTCGACGTAACGCTACAACATTTGTGTGTATGCTGTACTATTCGACATTACACTGAGCCATTTCACGCAACGCTACACTGTTTGAATGTACGCTGTACCATTCTACGCTGAGCCATTTCACGCAACGCTACACCATTTGTGTGTATGCTGTACCATTTGACATTACGCTGAGCCATTTCACGCAACGCTACGCTGTTTGTATGTATGCTGTACCATTCGACATAACGCTGAGCCATTTCATGCAACGCTACGCCATTTGTTTGTACGCTGTACCATTCTACATTATGCTGAGCCTTTTCATGTAAAGCTAGCCTGTTTGTATGTACGCTGTACCATTCGACATTACGCTGAGCCATTTTATGCAACGCTGCACCGTTTGTGCGTACGCTGTGTTACTCGATATTACCCTGAGTCATTTGACGCAACGCTACTCCGTTTGTGTACTGTATTGCAAATGAGTGCTAGGCTATTCGCAATTTAGCTGGTCCATTTCACAACTTCATGTTCCAACTTGACATGGGCAACTAGACCGTTTATCGTTTGGCTAATTTTTATGTTTAGGGTGTTCTGTTTCATGAAGGAAGCCTAGACTGTCTATAATTTTGCAATGCCATTCCTTTGTTAGCTATGCTATTCTGCAGCTGATCCTTAAATCATCTTTGTATTTACTGATTTATTTGACATCCTTGTATTTTTGGTGGTCCTAAACTTGGTCGTCGAAAGACTTGACTGGTGAAAAAAAGGTAATTTCAAGTGATGGCAGGTGATGCTCTGTTGGTTTCGGATCTCAGTCAACAGTATTCTACACATTATCCTCAGGCTTGTGATAAAAAGAGCAACAAGAAAAAAGATATGATAATGATATTGAAAACAGTGAATTATGAATTAGAACTGCAATGAGAATGAAGACTGCTTTGTTGATTTTGTCAATGATCCCTGTTATCACAATGACATATTTAGAATGTCACAAAGAATATTGTTCCACCACTTTGATGATGTAGTCTTAAGTAGCCGCAATGCGTATAAGGCAGTGCTCCCATGATGCAACACGGCATAATTCACTACCTACATTCGACGCTAATTAAAAGTTTGTGCGTTTATTCCTTACCGAACCGTAGGTGTCACAACCTTTTATAATACCTCTACAATACAACGTAGTATTTTACTAAGTTTTCCGCGCTAAAAAAAAAAAAAATTTGATTGTTGTTTACCGTGGTGACCCAAAATTTTAATCGCCACCTTCCAAGAAATAAGATTCTTTCTTTTCCCGAATTGTTTCCACGACCACATGATGTGAAAGAGGTTTACAACGATAAGTCCAGAGGAGGATAACTAACTGAGTTCGAAATAGTGTGAACTGATACACGTACTTAATCTTAGTGGATGTCACCGGATTTGATGTAGGTTTAATGAAACCGGTACGATTGCGTCACCAATAACGAAGGGTTTTCTTCCTGTGACGTGAAACGATGAGTGGTGGATATACCGGCACTTGCACAAAACATAAAGTTGAGGGCCTCATGTGCAACTTAATATCACCATGACCGACCGGTTCATAATACTGCTTGCATGATCAGACGGTACCATATTAAAAGGGAGTCAAACAGTTTCCAGAAATAGACAGCTGCCTCAGGGAGTTAATCATCTTGTGTGCAGTATTTATTTTTTTTAGCAAAAAGCTATTCGGTACAAAGAAGAAACTTTATTTTGTGTTTCCTTATGTTTTAATTATCTTCCAAAAAATATTACAAATTTTGTTATCTCACGACTAAAGGAAAGCCGCGGCGAAATAAAGCTCAAATCAATTAGAATCCCCTGTTATGGAAAAAATCATTTGCCTAATTGGCTTGACGTGTCAAATGCCGCGGTGATAATTAAAACAATGGATCGTTTCCAAAAGAAGGAGTTGGAGGTGGTTTTTCACATCTTTTGTCTCTCATAACAATAACCAAAACGAGTTACACTCACAATGCTTATTGAGCTTTAAAAATTGAGTGCAGTGCATAAAAAACGGTCATTTACATGTACGAGAGTGCAATGTGTCCTCGTAAAGACTACACATAAGGATACAAGGTAACTTGAGGGAAAATTTCTCCGGATTTTTTTGTTCTGCAAACGAATGACCTTCATGTTATAAGGTAAGCAATGAGTCAACGAGAAGACCGTGCAGTTTCAAATTTTGCAAAACGAAATTTACCCGCATGTCAACTGAAGAAACCGGTCACGACAGCAACAATGATACAATTTCCTTTCTCGTAGTATCCAAACTGTCAGCCCCAAATTGAAAGATGAAACGCATCTTTTTATTTTAATTTAATTTTTTTAATTTTCAAATTAATACCGGATGTACCGTAGGTACTGATTTCATATCAGATACTGTTGTTATTGTTTCTCAAACGACAAATAACCTTCTGAGTAATTATTGCATTTTCAAAATGGAACAGGGAATACGTTTATTAGTAGTGCGTGTGGTTTTAAATAGACTATCAAACCTGTGTAAAATAGCGCAAAATTTTTGAACTTTTCTTGATGATACGAAAGATTTTTCAAGACCATTTTGTTCCCATCAAATGAGTACGTGTAACATAGGCAGGGGTCGCACTTTGGCTTTATTTCTTTTATGTCGTGTTATAAGTTGCCCTACAAATATGTCGCGACATTTACACCAGGGTAGTCATGGAGGTCGCACTTGTGCGACATAAATGATATTTGAAACCAGACTGTCCACTCTTGATATTTCACGCGTGAAAAGAGCACCAAATAAAACTTTGTAGACATGAAGCTGGTGCTACTTTTATTAGCGACATTTCTTCACTCTCTGTTTAATTTGTTCAATGTACAAAAATTTATTGATTTGTACGCATTGTACAACACTCGCCAACGGCAATTGATGGCTCTTGCCGCTTGAAAACGACGTCGACG